CTTCTCTGTGAACCGGCTCAAGACCCTGCGGGGCTGGAAAACGAACCGCCAGGTGTCCAGTGCAGCGCGGGGACGAGGACCTGAGGCCCCTCACCTTGTCCTGACCTTCTCCCTTCTCTGCACCTTGGGGAGGTAGGGGGCTGCGCGGCAGGATGCAAGCCGGGTCCCCAGGTTGCCCCCCACCCGCCCTCGGCGCCCAGCCGAGCCGAGGCCCCGCCCCGTGGCCCGCTCGCTCCGCCCCTGCCGCCGGGCCCCGTCCCCCAGCGGTCCGCACTCGGGGAGGCGGGTGGGGGCTGGCGGTGCGGCGAGGTCGGCGCGCAGCTCCCGTGGCGAGTCGCTCGGGCGCTGTCCAGGCGGAGCCGGCCCGGCCTGGGCTGCAGCCATGGTAAGACACGGGCGCGGGGCAGGGCCGGGCGCGGAGGGCCCGCGGCTCCCGGCGATTCCAAGAGACCCACAGCGCTGCAGCCCCGACTGTGTGGGGCGGGAGGCACTGTCGCTGGCCCCGGGTACAGGCAGGCGCTCCTGGCTGGCAAAGCTGCGTCGTCGCTCTTTAAGTTTGTTCCTCTGATTGGAGCAGAGTGGGCCCTGAGCCTGGGGATGCTACCGGGCTTGGACAAAGGGGTGGGTACGTGCTAAGGGAGGTGCCCACTGACTGAGACGCGCATGTTGGGCTGGGAGAGCGAAGGTGAGGGTCTCTGTCCTTGCCCAGGTCAGCTGTTAATAATCCCGTGTCCTCTCATTCACTTATTCTGGGCATAGGGGCCAGCACCAACTTCCTGTGGAAAAGGCTGAGAAGGCCTGTAGACACACCTGCCTTCCCGGGAGGGATGATGAGACCCTTAGTCCTTCCTTCCCACCGCGCAGGGGGCCTCTCCCGGCCTTTTCCCAAAGGGACATGGGAGGGTCCCCGTCCTGCCCGGCGGGTTCAGCTGTGTCCCTCTGCCTCCCGACCCGGAACTGTGGGGGCAAGCTTCCTCCTACTGCATCTGCACCGCTTCCCCCAATCCCCAACCACCACCAAGTAGGTCCCTCTGCAGTGCGTGGGAGCTGGGGGGACTCATTCCTGCCACCTGCCTGCAGTGGGAAGAGAAACAGTAGCCCTCGCCAACCTTCCTGGAGGCCCTCAGGTAGCAAGTTTTACTGCTTGCCTGAGAGGTCGCTAGCTCCTCATCTGCTGATGTTGCCAGACCCTGCTACAGTTAGTGAGTGTTGGGGTCTCCAGGCACAGGTCACCCTCTCTGCCCAGTCTGGAAACCCACGAGTGCTGTGTTTGCAGCAGGAAGGGATTCGCTGCTGGCCTGAGTAGCAGGATGTTGGTCTGTAGGGAGCCTCCAGAAGAGAACTCTCAGGGCTTGGTGGAGTTAGAAGCTTCCAGATCTGGCGAAGTCAACCTTTTTGGGTTCTTGACTCAATCTGTGTCCAAGTGGAAGTCCAAGTTCTCTGCCGGGAAGTCTTGGGGGCCTGGTGACCTTCCTGTAAGAGGGAGTTTTGGGAGAGGCCAAGGGGTGCCTATCTGTGTCCTTGCTCCCCACTTGGGGGATGCACAGACCCATTGTTGCAGGGATGGAATCCTTGGGAAACCCAGATTGTCCCTAGTGCCAAGCCTAGCAGGGGCCAGAGGGGCTTTTTCTGCCACACACCGAGTTCCGCTGGGCTGAGGTCCTGGTGCTTTCAGCTTGGCTGAGGCCAGCCTGTTTTTCTCTAATTAAAGATACAGCACCACCACCCAAGTTCCCAGCTGGAGGGGCCCTGCCTTTAGGGCAGCCAAGTTCGGAGGGTCTCCTCTTCACTGGAGGTCAGTGTCCTCGGTTGCTCTCGAAATCTGCAGAGACCTCAGCAGCCCAGGAGTCCCCCAGGGAGTTTAAATTTGCATGTGAAAACAATAATAGACCAACACCAATGACACTGTTGACACTGTGCGGGTTCAAAGCCCAAGCCTCTCTGGGCAGCCCATAAGGCCCATCAAAGCCCTGACAGGCTCTGTGCAGATCCACACTGGATCTTTCCAGCCCAAATGGAAACATTTGGCCTCCTGACTCGCAGAGTGCTCTATCCGCACACTCCCAGCCAGGCCCCTCGATTTGTTTCCCACCTAATTGCAGTTTGGAAACCTCCAGGGACCACTGGCTTCTCTCTGGCCTGCAGCCTTGTCCACTCCCCTCTGGGGGGGTGGGGGTGGAGATCAAGCGCTAGTGGCTCCTGGTTATTGACTCTTTAGAAGCAGGGATCTAGCCGATCCAGGCCCCCCATGAGTCAGAGGTCAGGCATCTGAGGCTTGAAGAACACCCCTCATCCTCCCTCCCCCGCCAGGAGCAAAGCCCTTTTGGCGGCAGGAGTTCCCAGTAGCAAAGTCTAGAAGCAGATTTCTGAAGACATATGCTCCACTAGAATACTAAAAGACACTTGAGAAGTTTCAGGAGAACCTATACCCTGGGTAGGGCGGGACGGGGCGAGGAGGTAGTGGGGTTCTAAGACAGTCCATTCTGTTTTAGTGCGGCTCAAAGTTAAGGGAGAGTGGGGTTTCGGAATCCTGTGGGAATGCATCTCCTGGATGGTGGCCCCTATGAACTGATGATGGACCAGGTCACCTTGGGGAAGGCTCCCAGTCCTCCAGCAGGCCTCGGTGCCCTCAGGAGTTAAAAAGAGAAGGCCAAGTGCATCCAGAGCCTGTGCTGCTGCGTCTACCACAGGGTAGGCATCGGACAGGTGTCATGGCGCAGCCAATCAGGGGAAGAAGGGAGTGTAGAGTGAGCTGTTGCCAATGGGCCACCAGGCTTGTTCTTGGAGGGTGGGAGCCCAGGGAGGGGGAAGGAGGGAGAACATTCCACAAGCTCTTTTGGCCCCTGCCAGAAACAGAGGGGAGTCAAAGAGAAAGGAAAAGGAGGAAGCCAGTTGACAACAAGAGCATCAAGACAAGGCAGTGTCTGTGTGTGAGGAGCTTTGCCTGGAGATAAAATTAGACCCAAAGCTTACTGAAAGGGAGTCTGAAGGAAGGCCATGGAGCCATCCCTGCGATGGCAAGGGGATTCTGTCCCTGAGGCCGGGACTGAAGCTGTGGTAAGGTGCTGCTCCAGGAGCCGGGTGGACCTGACTTGTCTTCTGGGCTAGGACTGGGCCTCAATGCCGGGAAATGTCACGGAGCTGGAGGGTAGGCTGGATATGCAGGACGGGAGGGCCCTGGTGTCCTGTTCCTTGTCCGGCACTCCAGTGGCCCTCTTCCATGCTGCCGAGCAGCTGGGCTGGCAGAGGGGATAGCTCTGTTGGAAGATCCTGGGAGCCCTGGGGCGTCCCTCCGTGTTTCCCTTTTGCCCTTGTCTGTTTGCCTCTCCATTCCAAACCCTGGGAGCAGCCAGGTGGGACACAGTCCCCTCTCTTCCAGACCAAGTGCTGGGTCAACATGTACAGGAGTTCTTGGAGTCCCCCAGATGTAGTGGCTAAATGATGAGACCTGCTGTGCCCTCGCCCCACCCTGCTGCATGCTATTTGCAGTTAGCATCCAAAAGGGGACACTTTGGAGAGTGATAGAGAACACAACTAATAATTGTGCTAGGACATCCATTGGACCTCACAAATATGGGCAAGAAAAGACAGTTAAGTCAGGCTTGCTTCAGGACCACCTCTTCTGGTCCCTGAACTACATCTTCTCCCCCTTGAAGGTTCCTAACTTCTTTCTTCCCCTCTATCCAGGTGAGCTCAGGAGACAATGGGTGTAAGCAGGTGTTAAGACTTAGTAGGATCTCATAGGGGACTTTCCCTCTAGCCTCCCTGTGTCTTGATTTGTCTCTAGTGTAAAATCAGCAATGTGCATATCTGTCTCACTTAGTTCTTCTCTTTGCAAAGTCAGGATGTGCAGAAACCCTATAGCTATCCTATCTCCCCCATCCTGATGGGGACTCTACAGTGGTCTGGGAAAGCCAACCCCACTCCATGGCTTGGCCCACCCCCAGCAGTTGAGTCAGCCTCTGCAACCAGCCCTTGTGCATTGTCCGGGGGTAGCACGTGGGTATTGGGAGGCAGAGCTGAGCCCAGCACCACCAGGCACCCCACACAGGAGGCTGACCCCCAAAGGAGAGGGAAAGGTTTAGGGTCCAGAGCTGGGGATGGGTGTGGCAAGTTTCTCCCATTTCCCCCTAAGTTCACAGCTGAGCCAGACTTCCTCCTGTACCTCTGGCTCTGGGGTGCTTCCCGGGATGTCCCTCACACCTGGGGGACTGTCTGCTGCTCTGGAGTCTCAGTGTATTCAGTCCCTACAAGCGCTCACAGTGTTCTGATCTCTTCCTTCATCTCTCTCCTCCCAGCTCCTCTCCACTCCCATTCAGCACTCACTGGCAGCTTCATGATTCTTGTGTGGGGCCCAGGGTAGTACCTGGAATGGCCATGTCTGGAACTGGGGTAGGGAAAACAGCACAGAGCTTGGGAGAGGCAGCACCCAGAGCTCAGCCTTGAGCTCACTTACCAGCAGGGACAGGAGGCACAGCTCCTTCCCCCTTGCTGGCCCTTGACTGAGCCCTTGACTTCTCTCCCACTCCTCCTGCCCCTTGTCCCTGCCCTGTCTGACTCTGCTCTCTCTCTGAAGTCCTAAGCTACAGTCTCAGGTTGGTCATACTTCTGTCCCCTTACTCTTACTCGCTTACTCAAGTGTAACTTCTTGACCTTGAGGCCCTCTCTAGCCTCTGACTCGCACTGACCCCCAGGCAGGGCAGCTTCAGCAAGCAGGAGAGGGACTGGAGTTCCTCAGGTCTCCAGAAGCAGTTGCCAGGGCTTTGGGGGCTCCTCCTGAACCCGCCCCCTGGATCAGGGCGGGGCCTGGGCAGGTTTGGGAGCAGGTGAGGGAGGCCCAGCAAGCACTTCTTCCAGCTTGGCTGCACTTCCTTTCTCTTCTAACCACAAGTGCTTTCCCCTCTCTCCTTGCCTTCTCTGTTCTTCCACATCCCTCCTCATTCTTCCCTGCCAACCTCCCACCTACTTCACCCCACCCATGACCCCCTCACCCACCCCAGATCAAGCGTTTCCTGGAGGACACCACCGATGATGCAGAACTGAACAAGTTCGTGAAGGATTTTCCAGGAAGCGAGAGCTGCCACCCACCGGAGGCCAAGACCTGGGGGTCCAGGCCACAGATCCCGGAGCCAAGGCCCCAAACCCCGGAGCTCTATGAGGATGACCTGGAGTTCAGACCCCCGTCATGGCCCCAGGCCTCTGACAGCCAGCAGTACTTCTGTGCCCCAGCCCCTCTCAGCCCCTCCACTCGGCCCCGCAGCCCTTGGGGCAAGCTCGATCCCTATGACTCCTCTGAGGTAGAGCCTCCAACCCTGCCTCTGCCTTCCAGCAGGCTGGCTGGTACAGGAAGATCCAGGGTGGGAGCAGGAGAGCTTCAGTGTGTGTGTATGTGTGTGTGTGTGTGTGTGTACGCATGTGTACATGCACGTGTGTGTGTGTGTGTGTGTGTGTGTGTGTGTGTAGCCTTTCTCTGTCTTACGTCAGCACCAGCTCTGCCTTAAGGAACGCTGGGAACTGACAGTGTCAGGAGGGGTAGGCAGAAGGTTCAGCTGGTGGCCTCTGTTGTGAACTCTGGCACTACTGCTTCAAGGAAGGGCAAACACCTAGGAGGGAGTGAGAAGATGGGTGCTGGTTGCTGTGATGCTCCTGCTTCCTGCCCTGATGGCATCTGCCTTTCCATCCTGTAGGATGACAAGGAGTATGTGGGCTTTGCGACCCTGCCCAATCAGGTCCACCGCAAGTCAGTGAAGAAAGGCTTTGACTTCACCCTCATGGTGGCAGGTAGGAAAGAGCCAGGGCTGGGTTGGGCAGGGTGAGGGATGAGGTGTGTGTGTGTGTATGTGGTGGGGAAGAGCTAGGAGGCCCCCCTCCCATTACTGAGAGGGTATATATGCTAGGTACAGGGCCCTTGATCAACAATTTTCTAGTGTTTGTTCCTTTCTGTGTGACCTTGGGCAGCTATTTGTCCTCTCTTGGCCTCGCTTCAAATTAGAAGGCTGGACAAACCAATCTGACCCTAAAATATTATATGGTTTAATTTTTCTAGTCCCACATGGCTATAGGAGCAGTCCGCTTCACACCTTGGTGCAATGGAGCTGCCTCCCCACCACAGCTTGTACCTTCTGACCTGGTGCCTCTGTCCTTTCCCCTGGCAGGAGAGTCTGGCCTGGGGAAATCCACCCTGGTCAACAGCCTCTTCCTCACAGACCTATACCGGGACCGGAAGCTCCTTAGTGCTGAAGGTAAGAAGAGGAGCATGAAGAGGAGCAGGGCAGAGCCTGGGGGGCTGGGGAGCCCCGCAGCAGCATGCAGGAGACTGGCTTGCTGGAGAGACTGACAGCCTCTCTCGAGAGGCTTGTCTAGCCTGGCAGCCCACCAGCCAACTCCCTAATGATTTGGGTGCAGAGTCCTGCTCTCTGAATGAGTCTCTGACCCCTAGAGGATTCCAGGAATCCAAGGAGGAGAGGCTGGGGCCAGAGCCAACAGCCAGCGGCATTTCCTGTGTTGGGAAATGTGCTCCTTGCTGGTTCCCAGAGAAAAAGGTCCCAGGCAGCTTGGGAGTGGGGTTGGGGGGACAGCATGAAGCTGACTGCGGCAGGCGGTTTGTTCTGACTGGGTAGGTCCCTGTCCTTGCCCTGGCCTCAGTTTGCCCCTTCTCCAGAGCGGATCATGCAAACTGTGGAGATTACTAAGCACGCAGTGGACATAGAGGAAAAGGGTGTGAGGCTGCGGCTCACCATTGTGGACACACCAGGCTTTGGCGATGCAGTCAACAACACAGAATGGTAGGTCTGAACAAGCCCACCCCACCTGCCCCTGCCCACCACATATACATACACACACAGGTGCACACAGTGGCACAGACCCACCTGCACTTGTCAGGAGAGACTGATGACCTTGTACATGTCATCCCCTCCAGCTGGACAGCCAGCCTCTCCTCAGTGAAGCGAGAGGGAGAGGACTGGAATACAAAGCTAGTGTCCCCTCCAGTGCTGATCTATAATTCCACAGTGGGGGTGGGCACACTAGGTAAGAAAATTTTTAAAAATGCAAATGTGAAAATCTGTAGCACAGAGCCTGACACACGGTAGGTACTCTTTAAGCATCAGCTTCCTTCCTCATTGGATGACTCTGACAGACAAGGCTTGTAGAAAGAATGGGGAGACATGCAAGGGAGAGGTGCAGAGGAGAAAGAAGAAGCAAAGGAAAAAAATAGGTAGCACATTTGATTTCAGGCACCCGTCAGGCTCTCTGCCAGAAGAAGTGACATTACCACATACCTCATCATTACTGGCTGGCAGGACGGCTAGGTCACGGGCAAGTCAGGTGGTCAGACCTGAGAGAGAGGATGAGGAGGAGAATGGATGAGAAAGACAGGCAGAAAGGTGGTGCTTTGATGAGGTTGGGCAGGAAGTACTTGGAGCCCTAGGTGGGAACTGACATCGTAATTTATTACATTTAGTAACTCTGATCTTGAACAGTTGACTGCATTTCTGTTTCTTCCATTGAAAAATACCCTCATCACCTCACCATGTTGGTTTGAAAATCACCCAGAACGGATATGTTCTGGAGCACTGGAACACTGTAAAGGGGTGTTTGCATCCACAGATTTTAACAAGGACAATGGCCAGACCTGCAAACTCATTTGTGCAGCCCAGTGCAAAGTAAAAAGCTGGGGCTCCTTGTTCAAAATTATTACAGATTTCAAGCTGAAACCCTCAGAACGTCAAACTAAGCATAGACGCCTGTAGGTGCAGGTCACTGTATGACTGCCTTGGTCGTGTGTCTAAGAAGCTGATCCTGAATAATTATCTCATAGCTTTTATTTTTTAAAAGGTTTATGAGTTACAGTTTAAAAATATGTTTGAGGGCCCGGCGCAGTGGCGCAGTGGTTAAGGTCCTCGCCTTGCATGCCTGGGATCCCATATGGGCGCCGGTTCTAGTCCCGGCAGCCCCGCTTGCCATCCAGCACCCTGCCTGTGGCCCAGGAAAGCAGTCGAGGACGGCCCAAAGCTTTGGGACCCTGCACCCGCGTGGGAGACCCAGAAGAGGCTCTTGGCTTCGGATCGGCATAGTATCGGCCGTTGCGCTCACTTGGGGAGTGAATCATCGGACGGAAGATCTTCCTCTCTGTCTCTCCTCTCTGTATATCCGCCTTTCCAATAAAAATAAAATAAATCTTTAAAAAAATATATGTTTGAAAGGCAGAGCAACAGACAGAGAGGGAGATCCTCAAAGAGATCTTCCGTCTGCTGGCTCACTCCCCAAGTGGCTACAACAGTCAAGTCTGGGCCAGGCTGAAGCCAGGAGTCTGAAATTGCACCTGGGTCTCCCTCAAGTTCCTCCCAGGCACATTAGCAGGGGGCTGGATAGCAAGTGGAGTAGTTGGGACTTGAACCAGTGCTCTGATATGGGATTCCAGCATCCCAGGTGGCAGGTTAACCCACTGCCTCACACCTATCAGATGCTTCTGAGACTCGCTAAGACCCCATCACATGCTTTATTATAACAACAGATGACTTTGAGCTCAGCTAACTGGTTCACACACAGTACTTGGCCTCCTTCAGCATCCTTGATGGAGCAAGGCGAGCACTCTATCTTCAGCCTCCTTCCTGCCCCTATCTGTTCTAGTCTGAGCTGGCACCTGATCCTGTGTAGCAAGTAATGCTCTCTTCTTCAATCAATCTGCCTGCCCCCTCTTGACTTCTGTAATAAGAGTTTCAATGTCGGCAATGATCTAACCTCACACTTTCCAGGGTACTGCCGAGTCTACTCCTTTAGTCAAACAATAACTTTTCCTAAGCACACATGAGGTGTCCAGCCCGCACGGGATCTGTTAAGGGATGCAGAACAAGAATGAATGCTCCCTGTCCTCAGACACTTGTAGTGTAGTACCAGTGAAGGTGGAGCAAAGGAAGCAGTGGTCCAACATGCATGTCAATCGGATGACAAATTAGTAAGTGGGTCAGCCAGAAGGTCCAGGACTTGAGTGGCTAAAAATTGTAGCAGCCACCCAATCCGGATCAAGTCTCTCAACAATTCTGGATTTCATTTCTTCACCTACCAAGTGATTGGATGACGTTCATAACATACCACCATATCTCCCCATCAGGAAAGTGAGGATTAAAACTAGAGAACTAGAGAGCAGGACACTTGAAAATGGAAATTCTTGGTGGGGGAAGAAATAATGTCTTCATTTCACTGGGTGGTAAATAGAAGGGGAGCAAAGTGAGAATTGTTGTAACCTTCCCAGAAGAAGTGGTTATTGGTTAGGGCCTGGAAGACTCCAGTGAGTTTGGAGCGGTGCAGTAGAGGGTGGAACCGTGAGGCAAGGTTATGAACCTGACTCAGAGCTTCTGTAATTTCCAAGTGGTGTTTACCTGCAGCCACCTGGCTATTCTTACTGCTTCTTTTGGTGATCTGATCCCTTCCCATCTCATCACACTGGTGCTTATTGAACTTGGCCTATGTGCTTCCTCAGGACACGTGAGATGCAGCCCCGTCCCACCTGGTGTCCCCCTGAAGATGCAGGAAAGCCAGCCAGGGCCTAACACCCTGCCCGGGGCCAGGGCTGCTGCCCTGCAAGTCCCAGCGCTCCCTAGGAAGCTCTCCCTACTCCCTCGGTGTCTCTACTTGTCTGTCCCTGCCCCAGCTGGAAGCCTGTGGCAGAATACATCGACCAGCAGTTTGAGCAGTATTTCCGAGACGAGAGTGGCCTGAACCGCAAGAACATCCAAGACAACAGGGTGCACTGCTGCCTGTATTTCATCTCGCCCTTCGGCCACGGGTATGGTCTGAGCCTGAGGCTCCTGGTACCAGCGGGCACTGCCAAGGGAACAGGCCATGAGCACCGGGGGCAGGGTGGCCACTAGCAGATGGTCACAGATTCCTGTTTCCCAGGCTCCGACCATTGGATGTTGAATTCATGAAGGCCCTGCATCAGCGGGTCAACATCGTGCCTATCCTGGCTAAGGCGGACACACTGACACCTCCTGAAGTGGATCGCAAAAAACGCAAAGTGAGGGAAGCTGGTGGGGGGCGGGGGAGAGTAGGTGGTTTTCTAGAATGAATAGGGTCCCCAGAACTGTGGGCCCTCATCTGTTTGCCAGATCCGGGAGGAGATTGAGCACTTTGGAATCAAGATTTATCAGTTTCCGGACTGTGACTCTGATGAGGATGAGGACTTCAAATTACAGGACCAAGCCCTAAAGGTGGGGCCACCCCCAGGAATTCCCTTTCTATCTTGTTTCTTCCCGGAAGAGGAGGGGAGCAGGATTCTAGCTACAGGCAGGCTACTGGGGTAGGAGAGGACCCTATTTTCCTACAGTGAAGCAGAGTAGATAAAGATAACAGGTAGAAATAAGTGGGAGAATGGGAAGTTGCTGACAGGCACCCCTAAATCCTTCCAGGAAAGTATCCCATTTGCAGTCATCGGCAGCAACACTGTGGTAGAAGCCAGAGGGCGGCGAGTTCGAGGGCGGCTCTACCCCTGGGGCATCGTGGAAGGTAAAGCTGGGCTTTGGGGCCAGGGTGTATCCTTGCTCTCAGTGGCTGTCCCCTCCCCATGCCCCTGGCCGACCTCCAGCCTTGCTGTGCAGTGGAGAACCCAGGGCACTGCGACTTCGTGAAGCTGAGGACAATGCTGGTGCGCACACACATGCAAGACCTGAAGGACGTGACGCGGGAAACCCACTATGAGAACTACCGGGCCCAGTGCATCCAGAGCATGACCCGCCTGGTGGTGAAGGAAAGGAATCGCAAGTATGACCAGAAGCCAGGACAGAGCTGGCAGGGGGCATCCCAAGGGCAGCCTTGGGGGAGACCCAGCCCTACCCTTCCGCAGACCCTGGGCTCAATCCAAGCAAGCGCTGGACTCCTCCTGGCCTTGCCAACACTCTTTTCCCCTCTCTCTCAGCAAGCTGACTCGAGAGAGTGGTACCGACTTCCCCATCCCTGCCATCCCACAGACAGATCCAGAAACTGAGAAGCTGATCCGAGAGAAAGATGAGGAGGTGAGAGCAATAGGGAGCCGTAGGGATGGAGAGCTGGGAAGCCCTCGCCTCCGTGACCATAAAGCTCCATCTCTCCTGGTTTGGGAGGACAGAGATCTCTTGCTCTGGTGCATATTTGGGCCCTATATTGGTCAACTGGTAGCCTACCTGGAGTCTTCATCACTCCCTAGGGCCACCAAGGCCTTGGTTCCTGGGAGCGAATGTGGGGGCAATTCCCAAACACTAAGGCCTCCCTGAAAGGCCCCATCCCATGTTGGTGCCCGTGCCTGTTGCAGCTGCGGCGGATGCAGGAGATGCTACACAAAATCCAAAGGCAGATGAAAGAGACACAGTAACTGGCTTTCAGCCCTGGATATTTAAATCTCCTCCTCCAGCCCATGCCAGCCCCTCCTAACACAAGCTCTGCTCAGGCCCCTCGCAGCTACTGCCACTTGGCCTTACATCCCTGCTGACTTTCCAGAGACTCAGAGGAAATAAAGTTAGTAACTCTCTAGGTGGCTTCTGGTGTCCCTGTATCTTTTCTCCGTGCCCCACCCCCCATACTTCATTTTATTTGAAAGGCAGAGTTGCAGAGAGGTGGAGAGAAAGATCTTCTACCCACTGGCTCACTCCCATGACAGCCGCAGTGGCTGCAACAGTGCCAGGACAAAGCCAGGAGCTTCCATCTGCTGCCTGGGTGCAGAGGTCCAAGGACTTGGGTCACCTTCTGCTGCTTTCCCAGGCACAATATCAGGGAGCTGGGTCATAAATGGAGCAGCCAGGACTTGAATCAGCACCCACAGTGGCAGCATAACCAGTTAAGTCATAATGTAGGCTCCTTCTCCCTCCCCTCCCCCAACTGTGTATTTACTACCTCCAAGTACCAACATCCTGGAACTGTTTTGAAAGGTAGTGTGCCCGATTTTGGTTAGCCTAGGTCTCCCAGCCACTTCCCCCGCCCACGGCGGGTGGGAGCTAGCTGCAGCCGAGGCTGCTACAGGATCAGCAGAGTGGGAAAAAGAGAAGGACCGAGGTTGAACAGCACAAGGTTTTTATCCATTTCAGGACAATTCCATATAGCTATACAGTCATGATTGGTCAATTTTAACTGTTAACTTTTCTTTTTTTTTAATTGATTACATTGCATTATGTGACAGTTTTATAGGCACTGGGATTCCCCCCACCCCTTCCCAACTGTTAACTTCCAAAAGGTACAAATTGATGGGCTATAGGGTAGTGAATCTTTTTTTTTTTTTTTAAGATTTATTTATTTTTATTGGAAAGGCGGATATACATAGAGGAGGAGAAACAGACTCCCTAAGTGACCGCAATGGCCGGTGCTATGCCAGGAGCCAGGAGCTCTTCTGGGTCTCCACGTGGGTGCAGGGTCCCAAGGATCTGGGCCATCCTCAACTGCTGTCCCAGGCCATAAGCAGGGAGCTGGATGGGAAGTAGGTTCTAATCCTGGCAGCCATATGGGATCCCGGGCGCACAAGGCGAAGACCTTAACCACTCCGCCACCATGCTGGGCCCTCGGGCAGTGAATCTTATCAAACACCAGGACCTCCTTCCTGAGGAGTGGTGTGCCTAGGTGACATGCCAGGTGTCCTACTGGGTGTCATGTAGACTGTCAGGCTTGGAGTTCACACACAACCACAGCCAAGCAATTAAGGCAGAATCACAAAAGCAGAAAGCATTCAGGTTCTTCAGAAGATGAAGATGGGTTTCTGGCTTCTAGTGGATAAGGAAGTTTGCAGACCACCATCAGGTGCAAAACTTCCTCAGAAATGGCCTGGGAGCAGGTGTTACAGGGTGTGAGATCACACCAGACATGTCTAAGGTTTACTAAGGAGTTTTTATTAACAAAGCTTGGTGATAACAGAGCACACTAGACATAGCAAATCACAAGTCCATACGACAATCCAACCAAACAATCCCAAGAGGAACAAATGGTCATTACCCTTAAGTCCGTTGGTTAAGCTGAAGACCTATGCCCCAGCTTCCCCAGCAACATAAGCTATCCTAGGAGACATGCAATGAATAACCTGGACACACTTAGAATGCTGCAGAGTACTGCCAGGCTTCTTGTCTCCTGGAACTCCTGATAGTACAGATACCAGAAATAACACTGCTATATCCATTGTCCCATCTAAATAGTACACAGGGACCTTGCTCAGGGGATGAACCGTCCTGGGTCAGCCACGAGTCAAGGTGCCAGAGCAACAGAGAACCTAACCAGAGAGTGAACCCCTGCTTCACAGGCCTTTTAAAGGGGCTTGTGAGGGGAGTGGTTACACAACAATGCAATACCATCCCCTCTCAGATGATAGGTGAGTCACAGATGGCAGGAGGGAACACCTAGGTGGGGGAAAGGGGCGGGAGTGGGAGAGTGGCTGAGGATGGAATGTGGCTGTGTCCCATTTCATTTGCCCACTGTCAGTGGGTGCTGGCTATCACTGGCTGCACTCCCTAACACAGGCACTATGGAGCAGTGAGCTAAGGGGCCACTTGGATGTCTGCATTCCATACTGGAACACCAGCTTCACACTACTGCAGCCCAAGGGGCAGTAGATGACACTGGCCCGAGTGTCTGGGCTCCTGCTGGAGTCCAGCTCCAGCCGAGTTATGAACTTGAGAAGAGTGTGTAGAATATATGTAGAGAGAAAAGAAATGGACCACCACAATTTCAGGATCATAATGGACAAATGCAAGAAAGCTGTCCGCTTTATTTATACAGAAACCCTCACGAGCTCTGGCACAGACTTTTGAGGTCAGGGTCAAGTGGGTGTATCCAAGAATAATTCTGCCTTTGTTTCACCTAAAAACTGTCCATAGAAGTTCTCAATAGATGGTGCATATCAATCAGTAACACATTCCTACTACAATCCTCATTCTACAGGTTAATCTTGAGTCAGTTAAGGGAGGAAATGCATGACAAAAAAAGGGTGAACCTGAAAATCAAGGATGGTCAAATGGGGGCAGCAGAGACAGCATGAATAATAATAAAAGGCCCTTTTGCAGTTATCAGCAACATTAACCTCCAAGCTCAGGTTTGATAGTAAAAAACCAACTCCTCAGCAGCAAACAATGTCTGAATGGATTACAGAATTCTTCAGTAGGGTGGTCCAGTGTCTATGCAAAGGAAGGTGGAACTGCCTTCAGGTGGTTTGTAGAGACATCCACTGGGCCCTGGCATGCAGTGAGAAATTCCTTGTGGCCCTGCCTGCAATGGAACACCCACTGCAGGCTCCTACCAGCTACGTGGAGACCCAGATGTGCCTGGATCCTGGGTCTGGCCTGGCTATTTCAGGCCTTTGGAGACAGTATCAAGATGGAAAGTCCACTTCCCCCAAAAACCTCATTTCTCCTTTTCGAGTAAAGTGAAAATAAACAGTTAAAAGAGCTTTCCTTTCAGCCAAAGCCACCATCTTCCAGTATTCCTCAAGATGAAACACAAAGGGAGAGACACTCCATACATGATCTTGTGGCCACACAAGTGCACACATTTACAAGACCCGTGGTACTGCAGACACCCAGGGTCTGCAGTATACAGACACCAATAGGTCCTGCTCAACAAGGATTGCCCATCAGTGGGTGACTCTGGCCAATCAGGCAGAGTCTGCAGTGCTATCTAGCAGGCTGTTTGCACTGCTGCAAACAAGGATTAAGATTCTTACCAACATGTATATGGAGCATATTAAGCAGAAGCTCAACAGACGCACCACACCAGCCTGCTCCAATGCAAACAAACCTGAACCTACGAATCCATGGCATAATTGGGGGGGAAAAAAAAAAAACAACTTCTGCTTTCTCCTCTCCTACCTCCTACGTATAGTAGCCTCAGCTTCAGTTGTGTTGCCGCTTTGGAGCTGACACCTGTGGTTGGGAAAGCAGGTACTAGCCAGATGACATCCGCCGACTTCCTACTTCCTCTCATCAGGAAAAAGGGGGTGTGTAGAATTGAATTCCACCTGTTAGGAATCCAGTGATACAGTGACACAGAGCTGAACCAATGGCTACTTTACAATCACTGAACACCATCATGGATGCTGGCCATGAGTCGAGAAGGACTCAGCGTTCTGGGGGTCCCGCTGCATTGGAATATTCCGCATTGCTCAGGCTGCATTTGTTCTAGACCCTGGGGTGAACAAGGAGTGGATCCAGGCCCGTTCAAGTCTTTCGGGAATTGAACTAACTGCAGTGAAGATTGCAGGGCTCCCTACACGGAGACACATGAAGTCACTGGAGCCCCAGGCCTGCGGTGAAAGCGCTAGGACCCATTCCGGGGCTCAAGCACTCGGTTTCTGTAGGGTTGGTGGCGTCGCGAGGCCATGGCGACCTCCAGCGGTCACCCGCTGCTCCCCGGAGCCCCGCACAGAATCCCCAGCAGGAGACCGGGGAAGGAGGGACGACGACCTGGGTTCTCGGGGAGCGGGAAAAGCCCCGTCCCCCACTTTATAAACCAGGAACTGCGGCTCAGTGGGCGGCGGTATCTCCTCTTGGCCAAAGGACCAGAAATGGGGCGGCGTCTCATGAAGGCCGGGGTCGTCAACTGATAACAAGTGAGGTTTGCAGGAGCCCGCCAGGACACAGGGATGGAAAAACCCCGGCGTCGCCAGACCGAGAAAACCCAGCTCATTCTGAGACAGGAGGAACGACGCGGCAGACAAAACCAACGCCAAGGGGCCGCTCCCCTGGGGGGACCCTAAGGGGTGCCCTGGGGTGGGGCCGTCACCGGAAACGACGGTATGGCCCGCGTCCCCACGATGCCCCGCCTCCGATTACACTGCCAGTAGGCGACAGGCCGCCCCCACTTCCGGAGCCGCAGCCTGCAGCCCCTCCCTATCTGCTACTCTCCCATTGGCTGCCGCAGGGACGCGCTGTGATTTCTCATTGGTCGCGTCCCCTCTCCGGCGCCCTTCGGGTTTCGTCTTGTCTTCCTGCACCCGATAGGCTGAAGGCTGGGAGGGCGTCTGCCCTACTCGGCCAATGAGCGACGTGGATTGTAAGGGCAGCCTGGAGAGGTGGTGGGGGCGGGGCGGGACTTGGCGTGGCTATTGGCCAGGACCGGTACAGGCCGGAAAGACGATTGGCTAGAGCGAGGGGCGCCGTGGGGAGGGGGCTCCGAGCTGCGCGGTCTCGGCAGCTGCAGGAGACGGAAGTGGTGTGAGCGCGGCCTCGGAGGGTCGGGCGGACGCCGCCTGGGTGAGTCACCGTACCCCGTGCTCTGCCAACCTGGGCACCGCAGCGCCCCGGCCTCTCCCGGCCCCGCCTCTGCCCCCACCGTCTGTCTCGAGTCCCGCCTTCTGTCATTCGGGGCCCCGCCTCCGAGGCCTTAGGCTCCGCCTCTGGGACCTGGGCACCTGGGCCAGCGGGCCCGCCCGGCCCATGCCCCTGGGCCCAGCAAAGGAGGGCCTGGCAGCCCTCGGCCACCCAGGCCTGGAGCGTGTCCCTCCCTGGCCCCGCGGCTGCGCGCCAGTGGGCGGTGAGGCAGCACCCCCGGCTTGCAGCTTGCGGGCTCCCCCGTGTGGGAGGGTGGGCTGGGAAAAAGGGAACTGTGACCGAGGAGGTGGGTAGGACCACAGATGGAGGCTTTTTATTTCCGCAGCCTCCCGCAGCGGGGCGGGAGGGGGCTCTAAAACGCTTGTCCCTGGGTGACCGTAGCAGACACGACGCCAAAAGTGTCAGTGTAACGTGGGTCTTACTCCCCAATGGGGGCCTGAGAGGCCGGTTTGGAAATGGTTTGTTGCTGGGGCCTATTTGGCAAACGCCCCATGCTGACGCCTCTTGGGCTGGCCAGCTTCTGTCACCGACGGGGGGCCTCCTGTCCATAAACTCCACCCCACTTTTTGTCAGGTGCGCTCCTCAGGTCCCGTCCAGCCCTACTGCTCTCTTATCATAGGTTGTGGTCCCCTCCCTCTTGTCCTCTGCTCCGGACTCTGCCCCCAGTAAACAGGTCTCAGTAGATGCTGCGCCCAGACTCCGACACGTGCAGGGTAGTCCAGTGGATCCCTGCCTTCGCCAGAGTCCTAGCGGGGCAGCCTCACTTTTCTTTCGGGACTTGCCATGTCCTCACAGAAAACAGGTTGTGGAGTGTTCTGCTTCTCCTCTGGGGGCTTGAGTCCCACCGCACAATCTTGACCGAAACGTGTTTCTGCTGCACAACTTTCTGGCTGACTTACACCCTGCAGGAATGCAGGGGAGACCGTCTCCCTGCGCCGTTGCCAGGGCCCTCCGGACCTATGGGGCAGCTGGATGCTCCCGTGAGGGAGGGGGATGAGAGCTGTAGAGGCGTGTGTAGATGGGGTGCTAGTGCCGGGATGCATTTTAATCATCTGCTCTTCCGTCTCCTTCTAGTGAGAACCAGCAGTCAGGACCCTCGCCACGGTAGAATGGTGAGTACTCTTGTTTTTCCCTGATCATCATATCTTCCCTGCTCCTTGTGTCTGTTGTGAAGCTTCCTGACCCCGCCTGGACCCTGAATTATGCAGTTCAACCCCTAACAGGTTCTTACAGCGCCAGGACCACAAACCTTGGCAGGCGCTATGCCACATCTTCCCCTCACTGCTTGCCTGGACTCTTAGCCCTTTGTAAGAGCTGCCCCCCAACCCCTTTGCTTTCCATGGGTCTCTGGTAAAATCTGTACTTTTTTGTTTGTTTGTTTGGTTTTAAAATCAAGATTTATTAATTTGTCTAAAAGGCAAGAGAGATAGAGCTGTTGTTTCTGCTTGTTTCATCCCAAATGGCTGCAGCAGGGCCAAACCAAGAACCAGAAACGGCATCCAGGTTTCCCACATGGGTGGTAGGGGTCCAAGTACTCAGGCCAGCAGGCACTGCTTTCACAGGGACATTAACTGGGTTAGAAGCAGAGTAGTTGGTACTCAAACTGGCACACCAGTGGGGGATGTTGGCCTTGAAAGTGGTAGCTTAATGTGCTGTGCCACAGTGTGGCAGTATATTGTGATCTGAGAAGCCAGCTTCTTTACCTGAAGATCCTTGGACTTCTGCTAGGTCCCTTGGTGCCCTGTGGGTGCTGGTTCAGGAGCGACTGCACAAAAGCCAGGTCGCCTCTCCAGCTGCAGCTCGCTCTCTGTAGCACCAGTGCCGGTAGCAGCTGAATGAATGCCTAGCAGGTTAACGTCCTCATGGTTCCCACAATACTACTGCAGTGGTTTGGCATGATCCAGTAAACTTTCTTGATGCCCTTCTCACCTCTAGTTCAGGGATTTCTTAACTCCTGGGTGCTGGGAGGAGGAAGCAGTCAGGAGAAAAGAATAGGGTTGCAGGTCCTACCCAGGCCAGCCACTTCATCCTGCTACATCTTTGAGCTGTCATCATGTTTAGAAACAGGTTGGCCAGGGTCACTCTCTCCTGCAGTGTGTGCACACAGGTCTGCTTTCTTAGTCTGCTGGCCCCGGCCCCCCCACTGACTGAGAACTTTCCTGTTCTTTGGTGGTACCCAGAACAAGGAAGGGCTTCAGAGTCGGCCTTATCTAATTGCAAATCTAGCAGTGCTGCTCACACACTTTTAAGTGTATTCATTGTAAGCTGGAAGTCTCCCCTGTTAAGATAGGGTAAGGCTTACATCTTAGGGGCTTGAAGGATTGAAGTATTTGACTCATAGGAGATAAGCTTGATAAAATGTCAGGTTTTCTCTGTTCCACGTGCCCCTCCTCAAATAAAGCAGAAGCCCGGGTTTCAGAAGGTTAGGGTTCCAGACAGCTCCTTCTGACTTTCTGAGCCCTTATTCCTTGGGCGTCTCTCCAGCTTCCTTCATCCCCTGCCCCTAGGTTTCAAGTTTTACAGGTTGTGTGTGTGCGCACATCCACGTGCAGCTTCCATAGGCCCTCCTCTTTCTCAGACTAAAATTATTTTCTCTAAGAAGAATTTTCTCTCCCAGAAATTGAGGCTGTGAAAGATAAGGGGAGACAGAGGCGAAGGCGGAGGGCTGGCAAGAGGCTCTGGATTGAAGAACTCAGAGGATTTCCATGTGATGAGGGCTTGTGAAATGACTCCCCAGGCACTCAACCTGAATCCATTCCAAGGGGGCAAGAGGAGTTTAGTGCGGTTGGTGGGTGGAGGACACAGATACAAGGTTCCCTAGTGGATGTTGGCCTTGTGGGGAAGGAGGAAGCCTGGAAACTAGACCTCGCACTGCTTGGTCCTCTGGGGAAAACTCCCATCTTGGGATCCAGAGCAGGTTTTAGGGCAGGACTCAGAAACGGGGGACTTGGGCACAGTTGTATGACAAGAGGGGTGTAGAGTGGCTCACCTGAGAGCATGGGAAGTGAGAAAGTGTTGATGGCATGGCTTCCCCCTGTCATGCTGTTCAGTTGTGGCCCCGCAATCCACAGCCCTAAAAGGCCCGGGAGGTTCTGTGGGTTGCCCACCTACACCACCCGGGACCCGCAGGGAGGAGGAGTCCGGAGCCTGTGGGCGGAGCCCCGTGGAGCCGTCCCACGCCCCACCCCTGCCTCCGCCTGGTCCGCGCCTCCCAAGGCTCTGCCTGCACTGGCAGCGCCTCGCTGCCCTCCCTGCCTCCCTCCCTTGCGCTCCTGCCGGAGGGCGGAGCTGGGCCTGCTCCATTGTGGAGAGGAGGGGAAAGGAGGGGAGAGGCGCGCGGGAGTCTTGGTGAGGTTGGGCGGTCGGCGCGCTCGCCTCCAGGCCGCCACGGCTGCACCTGGCAGGCCCCGCAGCCGGGATGCGGCGGGCGCCAGGGACCAGCGGGCAGCGCAGCGGCTCCCGGGACATGTGCTCTGGCCCAGATCGGCCGCGACCATGAGCCTGACCGCCCGTGTCTCCTGCTCCATGCTTAGCTGCTTTGTAAGTGCCAGCCCGGTTTGCAGGGGGGTGGGGCAGGGGCTGGGAGGCCGGGACTCCCTGCTTGGGGCCAGCAGCCCCGCCCAGGATCTGCCCTGGAGATACCAAATTTCGACCCATCCCCCCCTTCCCTACGTCCAGGTCGCCAAAGGCTTGGGAACCGGCAGGCGGTGTAGGTGGAGGGCGGGAAGGAAATTTAGCTATGTCTTTCTTGGACTCTATGGTGTGGGTTCTGGGGCTTGTCGAAGGCTGGAGATGAAAATCTAGTGTCCGGCCTTGGCCCTGCGGCCACCGCCGCGGACTGCAGATCTCCAGGCCCCGCCCTGCAGGGGTGAATTCCTTTACCTCTGGCTCTCCATCTTGATCCCACCCGCGGTATCGTGGCGTGGGGATGTGAGCGGGGCTCCTAGGTTGTAGAGGGTGTTAAAGGACTGTTTGTGAGCTGCTGTCTCTGCGTCCCTCACCTGATGAGCGCGTCTTTTCTCCTTGAGTGTCCCCCAGACAGCGTCTCTGCTCCACCTTCCCCGCCTCTGCAGGGCTCTGCATCATGCCTGAGCCTTTCCTCCTCCTCCCCCTCCAGCCATTGCTCCTCCCCAGCTTCCCCCATCTGCCTTCTCCCCCCACCCGCGGGTGCCTGCTGGGCCTCCACTGGCTCTGCCCTGGCTGTCCTTGGGTCTCCTGCTTCCTCTCAGGTGCGTAGATCCCGGGCTCTTCCCTCCCTGGTGGCCGGGAAGGGAGTTGCTTCTGCTTGCCATGGGTATTCCTTAGGAATTTCCCTCTTATCAGCAAGCAGGGCAGACTGCTTGGCAGGTGGTCAGGGGACTTGTCAGTATCCTAACCGGAAGAGCCGCTCGGCTCCAAAACACATCCTTCTTTTGAAAGCATCCGTGAAGGCCCTCTAGAGGCATGGGACTGAATTTCGTCCCCCTCCCCCCATGCTACTCTTTGTCTCCTCACCCTCCAGAATGTAGCTTTGGTGGCCGTGGGTGCCCATGGCCCTCCTCTGCTTGCAGCTGGCTGTTGTACCTGGCGCTGGTGCCTCAGGCTGGCCTCCCTTCACACTCCCGCCTGTCACCAGTCGTTCTTTCTGTGGTCTCTGCCCTTCCCCCGTTTTGACCTTTGGGTTCTGTAGGAGAGTCCCTTTTAAAATGCCCTGATTTCCAGTTCCCCCTTGGGCTTCACTCTTCCCCTCAGCCTCCCCAGCTTGAGTAGCCCCTGTGTTTCATTTCCCCATCTCCACCCAAGCTTGGGGAGGGGAGGGGCAAATGGTGACCTGGGGTTGTGGCCTCCCTACAGGGTGAGGAGGGGCCTCCCAGCCTGGAGTACATCCAAGCCAAGGATCTGTTCCCCCCCAAGGAACTAGTGAAGGAGGAAGAGAACCTGCAGGTAAGGAGGATGTGGGAGCCTGGTAGGTGGGCGCCCTCCCAGTTCCAAACACCCTCATCTGAGAAAGATTCTCCAGGTCCAGTTGAGGAGGGAGGGGCCCTGCCTGTGTGTGATGGGGCCTTGGCCCCAGGGCCGGAAGGCAGCTTTCCTGTGTAGGTCCCTGGACCAAGGCCTTTCCTGCCTCCGTCTTCCTGATCCTGAGGGAATCCCGTGGAGCAGGGGCTGCTTACCCAGAGGAATAAGGGGGCCTTTACCTCCTGGCAGGTACCCTTCACAGTGCTGCAGGGTGAGGGAGTCGAGTTCCTGGGCCGTGCTGCTGATGCTCTCATTGCCATCTCCAACTACCGGCTGCATATCAAGTTCAAGGACTCTGTCATCAACGTGAGTTCCTGTTTTTCCCTCCCACACAGAAGCTGGAAGTCCTGTGAGATGGAATGGTTCCCATGCCCTCCCTGCTCATGTACACATCTCCTTCTCTTTCCCTCAGTCCCTTGTTTTCATGCCTCATTCTCCCAGCTGCAGGTCTGTGGCTCCCTCCTTGCCATCCCGCCTTTCATTCCTTTGCTTGATTGCTGTGCCTTCTAAGGGGCACAGTGGCGCTGTTGGAAGAGGATGGCTGTGGTGTCCAGCATCCCTGGGCTCTTGCCATGCACTGTCACTGACCAGCTCTGTTCGATTGGTCATATCATCTAACCTGAAGCCTGGTTTTTCTTCTAAATAATGAGGAATGAAAGCCCCTGCCTTGCAAGCTAGGGAATCCCCAGTGTTGCAGAACAAGGCCAGGAATCAGGCACTGGGAGAGATCCTCCAGGATCATTCAACACTACTTTGTCATTGAGACTTCAGCAGCCAAGGGAATGGGACAAGGGGCAGTGCCCAGAGTGGAGGAGCTGAAACTTGAGTTTGCCTTTTCTCTGAAGGTCCCCCTCCGGATGATTGACAGTGTGGAGAGCCGTGATATGTTCCAGTTGCACATTGCCTGCAAGGACTCCAAAGTGGTGAGGTGCGGATCACCACTGCCCATCCCCTGATCCCCATCTTGTTCAGACCTCCGTGCCTCATGGGACTGCTTTGCCTGAAGAAATGAAAGCTAATGTCTGTCAGTTTGGAGGAAAAGGGGAAAGCTGTTTTGGGTGTGGAGATCAGCTCACAGGTCTGCAGTGTCTCAATGAAAGAGATGGAGATAAGGCTTAGCTCTTGGGTCCCCCACAGGGGACCGGGTATGAGAGCACCCAGGGCAGTGCATGTTGCACGGTCAGTGGATCTTTCAGTCAGTCATTTCACGTGCATTTATTGAGCACTTTGCTTTCAGCCAGGTGGTTGCTAAGTCCTAGGGAGGCAGCAGGGAGAACAGACAGGCACCTCCTTGGAGGTTATATCCTAGCAAGGTAATACCAGCAGCAACTAAGTCAATAAGTTAGGAATGACAGTATCAAGTGAGCAAATAGATGGGGAAAGTATATGGAGCATTAGGGGGGAAGGTTGCTGATTTAAAAAAGGGGGGATCAGGAGGCTGCACTGAAAGGTGGGGTTTGCATTAAAACCTGAAGAGAGTAACAATGTTGGTGTTCAGGCATGGTGTCGGGCCAGGTAACCAGTACAAAGGCCCTGGGTTGGGTCCTGCCTGTGCCTGCACAGTAGAGGGAATGGCAAGAAGCTCAAGTGGCTGGAGGGAAGAGCTCAGGGTGGGGAGGGTAGTGAGACCAAGGTCTAAGAGCCAACAGGAGATGTCAGGCTGTCAGAGTGACCGGTTGTTACTATGAAGGAATTGAGAAATCACTGGGGGTTTCAAGTAAAGGAGTGACATGATCTGATTAATGTTTTATCGGATCACTCTGGCTGCTGTATTGAGACCAGATGAGCGAGAATGGGGCCCAAAGCACAGGCAGCAGCTGGAAGACTAGGCAGGAGCCTGTTGCTCTGCCCAGTGAGAGGTGTGAAGGGCTGCCAAGGAGGCAACAGTCGGGAAAATGCAGTCGGGTTCGGAGGGTAGAGATGGCAAGACTTGCTGCCAGACTGGACCCATGAGAAAAACGAGTCTGAGGTGACAGCAAGGATTATTAAAAAGGGATCCTTGGCGAGGGGGTGCAGGAGTTCAGAAGGAACCCTCACACTGCCCTTTCTATTGAGGGGGGGCTGAAGTTCAGTAACTACAGGAAGACTTACTACTGTGTGGCACTGTGCTCTACAGAAGCCTCTTGTTTAACCTTCCAAGCTTGTTAGGAAGCAAAAGAGGAAGTGATCTGGGGAATGGAGTAGGTCTGGGGGACTCCAAGGAGGAGGTGGGCCTGGAGCTGAGACTAGGCAGCAGAGAGATGTTATCACACAGAGGAGAAGAAACAAGGAAAAAGGAACGACAGGCGCAGGACCATCGCCGGTACAGCAGAAGGCTCGTGTTGGGGTGTCTCAGGTGACAGCACTGACCTGGTAGGGCAGAGAGGAGTGGAGACTCTTGGCCAAGGGCGGGATTCAGATTTGGCACAGGAAGCAGTAGGGCTCCCTTGGATGCCATGAGAAGCATGCCTCAAGCCCAGCGGTGCTTAGCAAGAGAAGTGCAAAGTCTTTGAGTATTGACCCATGTGCCTGGTCCTCCCACGCTCCCCATCGCCTTGCCTCCTGCCTCAGCTGCCCCATGGCTGTGGTGTTAATGCTATGACCCTGTGGCACACTCACCCCTTACCTCATTCAGACCTGTGGTTTCTTGCCCGGCAGGTGCCACTTCTCCACTTTCAAGCAGTGCCAAGAGTGGCTCTCAAGGTTAAGCCGGGCCACAGCAAGACCCGCCAAGCCTGAGGACCTCTTTGCCTTTGCCTACCACGCCTGGTGCCTGGGGCTGACAGAGGAAGACCAACACACCCACCTGTGTCAGCCAGGTGAGGCCAGGCTGTTTCGCTTCTTGAGACTGCTCTTACTGCTTCTTTCTTATGCTCCCTATACTTCCATCCCCTGGTGCCATGGCAAGCTCACTGGCTGGGGACTGTGTTGCAGGAATGCACATCCGATGCTGGCAGGAGTTGGAGCTGGACAGGATGGGCTTTGACCTGCAGAACGTCTGGAGGGTCTCGCATATCAACAGCAACTACAAGTGAGAGGGCAGAGGCTGGAGCCCCACATAGCAGTGCAGACCTGAACTGAAGTTCTGTGGGCACAGCTCTCAGGCCTGAGGTGGGGAGGGATCCCAGCCCCTTTGCCATGAAGCCAGACCCTGGGTTTGGTGACCCCCGTCTGGTTTCTTCTCAGATTATGCCCTAGTTACCCTCAGACGCTGCTGGTTCCTGTGTGGATCACTGATAAAGAGCTGGAGAATGTGGCTTCCTTCCGCTCCTGGAAACGGATCCCAGTGGTTGTGTATAGGTGAGGGAGTGTGGGGGCTGGAAATAGAGAGGCTGTTTTTTATTAAATGAAGAAAGTTAAAAATGAGTTAACATCACATGAGAAAGTGATTATGAAGTACCGGCAGCAGCCAGGGCTACACCAAGCTAAAGCCAGGAGCCTGCTGTGGTTGAGTCTGCAGTGTGGGTAGCAGGAACCCAGGAACTTGGACTATCAACTGCTACCTTTGTGGGCACATTAACAGGAGGCTGGATCAGAGACACAAAGGAGCCAGGACTTGAACCAGGGGCTTTGATAGATGTGGGCATCCCAAACTGCAGCTTAAAGTGCTGCACCACAAAGACTACCCCTGAAATTTTTATTTTATTTATTTTTTCACCTCTGAAATTTTAAAACAATCATTGTCTCAGTTTTTTTCTCCTAAGAACATTAGTAAAGGAATTGGTAAACTGGTTTCCAGACCATATCCAACCTACAGCCCCCCCTTTTTTTTACAGCGTGTTTTATATATAGCATGTAAATTATAAGTACTTCTTGTGTTCTTAAAAGATTTATGTATGTATTTATTTTGAAAGGAATAATAGAAGGAGCTGGGTTGGAAAAGGAGTAGCTGGTACTGAAGCCAGCAGTCCAATTTGGAGATTGGCATTGCAGGTAGCCTCCTGTGTTACAATGGTTACAATGCCAGTCCTAGCTTCTGCATTTTTAAAGGGTCATTTAAAAAACAGTAGACAAACGTAAAGATTACGTGATGGAGACCGGTTGTGACTTACAGAGCTGACAATTTATGGTCTGATTCCTGACTGAAAAAAGTTTACTGACCTCTCCTTATGAACATTGTAGCTGAAGCAGGGTGAGGAAGGTCATGATCGTCAGATTTGGAATTGTTGGTGATCTTGGCTCAGACCTTTTTCTCCTGCTGGCTGTCTGTACCTCGAACAGGTGTTGTGCAGATTTGATGAGTCAAGATCACCTTGGGAATACAGTGGCCATCTGACAGTGTGCATGATGGTGCAATGGCGCTTTGTAAACTCAACCCTTTAGAGAGGTTAGGACTTTGGTTGGGACTGCTGGGTCTGAAGACCTTACTCTGGCCTCCCGAGCTCTCCATGACAGGCCTCTGGAGACTTTGAATGCCGAGGACATTGTGGTTTCTTCTGTTTTGTCAGACACCTGCGCAATGGGGCTGCCATTGCCCGCTGCAGCCAACCTGAGATCAGCTGGTGGGGCTGGCGTAATGCTGATGATGAATACCTGGTCACATCCATTGCTAAAGCCTGTGCCCTGGACCCGGGGACAAGGGCTCCTGGGGGCTCCCCCGGCACTGGGAATAATGATGCCAGTGAAGCGTGTGACACTGACTTTGGTAAGTCTGGGTGATGCCCCACAACCATCACCCCATTCCCAGGGAGCAGCCTTTCCTCATCCTTGGTCTCATTGGCTCCCAGGGAGTCTACAAGAGAGCTTGAGAAGAAGGCTCATGGATTTGGGGCGGCAGGGTGATGGGGTAGTGGTGGTCTCTCATTGCATGCAAGGAGATCACTTGCAAATGACAGTGAGTGCCATTGGATTGGGATGAGGCTGGGTGGCTGACCCAGGGTCTTCTTCCTGCTGTGCATGTAGATTCCTCCCTGACTGCGTGCTCTGGGGTGGAGAGCACAGCGGCCCCTCAGAAGCTGTTGATCCTGGATGCGCGATCCTACACAGCGGCAGTGGCTAACCGGGCCAAGGGTGGAGGTTGTGAGTGTGAAGGTATTGCTGTTAGCCCAAGTGTCTGTGGCTGGCCTTAGCTCTGGTGGCTTTGGTGACAGGTCTGAGGGGAAGTGTATGTTACAGAGTAAAGTCAGGCAGACTCCATTTCTCAGTCAACCATACCTATTAGCTATGACTGTGCTGTCAGAGCCTTGTCTTCTCATCTGTGGAAAGGGGGTGATGCATACCTTGCCCGATTGTTAGGATGATTAGAGGTTGCCTGCTTATTCATGATGCCCAGTGGATGCCTAGCGCTACAGGGTGCACTATAGCATACATATGTACTAGTATTTTTTCCTGTGCATACAACCTGTAAAAAAGTTAATCAGATACAGCAAGAGATTAACAGCTGTTAGCAAATACACCCTCATTTTTTTTTTTAAACTTATGCATGGCTTAATGTCTAGAATTTTCCATTTAGTTTTTTTGGACTAGGGTTGATCATGGGTAATTGAAACTGAAAAGCAAAACCATAAGTAAGGATGGGATTACTATATTGAGAATTTGCTTTGTACTGTTATTCTTAGCAGCAATATTATCATCATCAGTCATGAATGTTGTTCTTACTACCTGTGTTAAGCACTTGGGTATCCAGAGATTCTGATTTCTGATTACATTTAGTTCTCGTCCTGGAGGTTTTTGCCCAGTCAGGGAAGATCTGTCTATTAGGACAGCTGTTGTCCTGAATGTCTGTTCACTGGACAGGCTTTTATGCTCCACTCTTCTCCTGTCTACAGAGTACTACCCCAATTGTGAGGTCGTGTTCATGGGAATGGCCAACATCCATGCTATCCGCAATAGCTTCCAGTACCTCCGGGCTGTGTGCAGCCAGATGCCAGATCCCAGCAAGTAGGTGTTCCATTGTCCCTCCAGTCTCATCCTTTCTGTAGTACTTTCTGTACTTGGAAGATTGCACAGGGAACTGTGGGTCCGTGGAGGCACAAGGAGACCCGAGAGCCTGGGCAGCGTTGGGTACAGTGGGCCAGTTCCAAGAACACTCCTTCCATTTCTCAGTCAACATTCTGGCACAGTCATAGAACATTGGATTCCTCTCATTTGGATCTGTTGTGCTACTCAGAACACAGAGAACTGGGGAGAGCGAGTGGATAAATGTGCCCCAGATGCCTCGCAGCCATCTTTTGAACCTGAGAAGCACTTAATCTGGTTCTGGCCCATCTTCCCTGCCTCCTTGCTTAGACAGTTCTTGACAGAAAGGCCATAGTGAACCTCCTGGTTTCAGTCCTCACTGCAGACTTTGCTGGGTGCGTATGGTTGTGGGTGCTGGAGAGACTTGTGCCTCAACACCCTCAATGACAGACATGATTTTTCCTCTTGTGTAGTTGGCTTTCGGCACTGGAGAGTACCAAATGGCTGCAGCACTTGTCGGTGATGCTCAAGGCAGCTGTGCTGGTAGCGAATACAGTGGACCGGGAAGGTCGACCTGTGCTGGTGCACTGCTCAGATGGCTGGGATCGAACGCCCCAAATTGTATCCCTGGCCAAAATACTCCTGGACCCGTATTATAGAACTTTGGAGGTATGGGGAAGAATTGCTTGGGGGGAGAACAGAGGGAATGGGGCTTGGGAGAGCTGCTGAGCCCTTTGGATATGTTGTGGAACTCCTCAGTAGAGGCTGTTGGTGGCTGTGGGTCTTATGCTTAGGTTCAGTCCTCTTGTTCTTTGAAGCAACCGGCTCCCTGCTTTGTCAGCCCCCTGAAGTCTGGCACACCAATCTTTCTGGATGCCTTAAAGTGGATCCTTTTCTTTTTGTAGGGCTTTCAGGTGTTGGTAGAGTCTGACTGGCTGGATTTTGGGCACAAGTTTGGAGATCGCTGTGGCCACCAGGAGAATGCAGAGGACCAAAATGAACAATGCCCTGTGTTCCTACAGTGGCTCGATTCTGTTCACCAGTTGCTGAAGCAGTTCCCCTGCCTGTTTGAGTTTAATGAAGCATTCCTGGTAAGTCCTAAAGTCTGGCCAGGGTGAGGGTCAGGTGGAGCCAGACACCCTCAGGTACCAGCCATATTCGCCCTCTAGGTAAAGCTGGTGCAGCACACATACTCTTGCCTATATGGCACCTTCCTGGCCAACAACCCCTGTGAGCGAGAGAAGCGCAACATCTACAACCGCACCTGCTCTGTGTGGGCTCTTCTGCGAGCCGGCAACAAGAACTTCCACAACTTCCTCTACACACCAGGCTCAGACGTGGTGAGTGCAAGCGCTTTTCCTATATGTACTGCCAGAAACCTGCAGGGAGAAGAGGCTCGGTTGATGGGGAGAAGGTAGTCAAAGGCTGAGGGAAGGAAAAGGGACCAGGGACATGTGGCAGAACCCTCAGCCACGGCTGCTTCCCCTAGGTCCTGCACCCTGTTTGTCACGTCCGGGCCCTGCACCTCTGGACAGCTGTTTACCTTCCAGCATCATCTCCATGCACACTCGGGGAGGAAAACATGGATCTTTACCTTTCCCCAGTGGCCCAAAGCCAAGAGTTCTCTGGCCGCTCTCTGGACAGGTAAGGCCTTCTTGCTTTCTAGGAGGCTGTAACAGCTATTGTGTTTCCTAAATGCTGGCTTTCTTTACAAGATACTTAGAAGCAACTTCTTGAGTCAGTTGAAGGAAAAACTAGGCTCAAGACTTTGCCAGCATGTGGTGTACTCTGTGTTTGCAAGGTTCTCTCTTTAGATAAGATTGTTCACCTTGTGTTACAGACTGAAGCAGGGGAGAGGAACAGAGAAGAAAGAACTGTTTCAAGAAGGTTTATGGGAATGGTGTTGTTTCTTTATTCTCTGAAAGATTAAGTTTTTATTTTGCTTGAAAGAGAGAGAGAGGCAGATTGATCAATCTTTCATCTGCTGGTTCATTCTCAAATGGCTATAATGTTCACAGAAGGGCTGGGCTAAAGCCAGCAGCTCTATTTGGTCTCCCAAGTAGGTGCAGGGGCCTTCTTTTGCTGCTGTTCCAGGTGCGTTAGCAGGAGCTGGATCAGAAGTGGGGCAACCAAGTCTCAAACTATTACTATTTATACCTACATGTATATACCTATATACAAGTGGCAGCTTTACTTGCTGTGCTACAGTGCAGGCCCTATCAAGACACTTTTAAGCTGTTTGATACAAAAAAATTAAAGAACAGGGCCCCACAGTAGCCTACTAGCTAAAGTCCTCGCCTTGAATGCGCCTGGACCCCATATGGGCGCTGGTTCTAATCCTGGCAGTTGCACTTCCCATCCAGCTCCCTGATTGTGGCCTGGGAAAGCAATTGAGGATGACCCAAAGCCTTGGTATCCTGCACCTGTGTAGAAGACCTGGAAGAAGTTCTTGGCTCCTGGCTTTGGATTCGCTTATCTCTAGCTTTTGCAGTCACTTGGGGAGTGAATCATTGAATGCCGGAGTCCAGCTCCAGCCGAGTTAGGAACTTGAGAAGGGTGCATGGAGTAGGCATAAAGAGGAAAGAAACGGACCACTACAATTTCAGGATCATAATGGACAAAATGCAAGAAAGCTGTCCGCTTTATTTATACAGAAACCCTCACGAGCTCTGGCAGACTTTTGAGGTCAGGGTCAAGTGGGTGTATCCAAGAATAATTCTGCCTTTGTTGCACTAGAAGTTCTCAATATCAATCAATATCGTATCAATCAGCAACACATTCCTACTACAATCCTTATTCTACATCTTAATCTTAAATCAATTGAGAGAAGAAATATATCACAAAGAAGAACCTAAAGATCAAGGAAAGAATAAAACCTAAATATAGATTGTTTGATTAGTATAAGGTCAATGGGTGCAACATGAATAATAAAAGGCCCTTTTATTATTGACATTAACCTTCAAGCTCAAGTTTGATAGTAAAAAACCAACTCCTCAGCAGCAAACAATATCTGAATGGATTACAGAATTCTTCAGCAGGGTGGTCCAGAATCCATGCAAAGGAAGGTGGAACTGCCTTCAGGTAGCTTGTAGAGACATCCACTGGGCCCTGGCATGCAGTGGGAAATTCCTTGTGGCCCTGCCTGCAATGGAACAATACTCTTTACAGCTTTGGATCCCCACATCCACTGCACGGACCCAAGCACGGATGGAAGATCTTCCTCTGTCTCTTCTTCTCTCTATATATCTGACTTTCCAATAATAAATAAAATAAATCTTAAAAACCAAACAAATGAACTTTTTTTTTTTAAGATTTTTATTTTGTTTTTATTGGAAAGGCAGATATACAGAGAGGAGACAGAGAGGAAGATCTTCCATCCGATGATTCACTCCCTAAGTGGCCGCAACAGCTGGAACTGTGCCAATCCGAAGTCTGGAGCCAGGAGCTCTTCTGGGTCTCCCACATGGGTGCAGGGTCCCAAGACTTTGGGCCGTCCTTGACTGCTTTCCCAGGCCACAAGCAGGGAGCTGGATGGGAAGTGAGGTTGCTGGGATTAGAACCGGCGCCCGTATGGGATCCCAGCACGTGCAAGAAGAGAACTTTAAATCTAGGATTATGTGTGATTCAAAAATTAAGAAAAAATATATGCATATATTTTAAAGATTTACTTATTTTTATTGACAAGGCAATTACAGAGAGAAGGAGAGACAGAAAGCTCTTCCATTCATTGATTCACTCCCCAGGGAGATTTTTGGAAAGCTGTCCTGTGAACATGGTTGTTGGAGCTTCAGAGCCCAATCAATATTCTTTGGAATAGAGCCTGGAGAGGAGAGGAGATTCAGGTACAACGTAGAAAATGCATCCATAGGCCACCTATTGATTAAAAGTTGTGGGGCAAAGGTTTCTTGTAAAAGTCTTCGTGTCCAAACTTAGAAACTAGCAGAGTATTGGTACCACTAGTAGACACTAAAAAGCTATGATAAGAATTTTGGGTGAGAAAGGAAAAGATACAAGATTGAATTATTAACTGGGCTTGGTGCATTGGCTTAAATGGCTAAACCACTACCTTCAAGTGCTGGGATCCCATATGGGCAGTGGTTCATGTCCTGGCCACTCTACTTCCCAACCAACTCCCTGCTTGTGGGCTGGGAAAGCAGAGGACAATGGCTTAAAGCCTTGGGACCCTGCATCTACATGAGAGACCCAGAAGAAACTCCTGGCTTCAGATCAGCTCAACTTTGACTCTGGAGACTGCTTGTGGAGTGAACCAATAAATGGGAGATCTTTTCTCTCTGTCTGTCTGCTTCTCTAAAACCTGCCTTTCCAGTTAAAAAAAAAAAAATCAGCTACTATGTTTTTAAAAGAAAAACCAAACAACAACAAAAAGCATTATTAACTGACTAGCAGAGAGGAGATATGTTATATACAGCTCAAGATGGCAAGTTGGATTTAGAGAAACAAATTTTCACGGAATCAGTTTCTGTAACATCTGGCTTAGTTTTGGTTGTACCTTTTCCTAGGTCAAAGATGCCCTGCTCTCTTTCCTCTGCTTCCGTTAAATTCTAGCATATTCTTCTATACCCAGCTTGAATCCTGCCCTGTGTAACCTTCCCTGTCCCGTTCACAGGATGAGCTGATCCAACCGTTGTCATATGTAGTTTTTGCTGTTTGAATCCGAGTGAAGAGTGCATGGGCATCACGTTCTTCTTTTTACGATTTTTATGTGTTTGAAAGTTTCCAAAGAAAAAGAAAAGTTTAAAAAAGAAAAATAGAGAAAACAAATTGTGGTGGTCCTTAAAATAGATTCCTGGGTTTCACTTTTGGCCGTTTCCATTCTCTAGGTCATGATGGGCCCTGGATGATCCACAGAGGGCTCCCAGTGCCCACCAAATATCACAGCCCAGAGATTTGTTCTATTCGCTTGGCACCTAGTAGTGACACTTGGTGTTAAGAGGTTAAACTCACTCATTCTTTCAGACCTTTGCTTAATGCAGCACTAGGCACTTGGGGTTCAAATAAGACATTGAGTGCTACAGGGATGCTGTAGGAAAAAGAAAACACCAGTGTGCTGGACAGGAGTATTGGTGCAGATGATTTTATTTTATTCTTCTGATGGCTCCAGGAAGTAGGTCCTTGAGCTCTAACTGATGCTTGAAGAAGTGAAGGTCACACAGCTGATATGCTGCCACTATAGTCAACAGTGATCACAAAGGTGAAATCAAAAATAAAATATTTCAGACACTTCTTAGAATAAAGTTTCAAAGAGTAACCCAAATAAAATGATCTATAATTGTAACTGGCTTTCAGGGGAGTTTTCTATATGGGTTTAATGGGAAGTCATCTGAAAATAGGAGGCCAGTGAAGTCTCGACTATTTCCTGTTGATTTTCTCTATAATAGTCTGTGCGTTGGAGAATATAAACTGAATTGCAAATCAGGGCAGCTATTCTCAAAAATAATCTGTTACCCACTGGGTGCGGAGAATCCTCTGCAGCTCTTCATCTGTCCTGTACCAGGGAGCGTTTCTTTGGGGTCAGGACTTCTGAAGAGTTGCAGAGGCACAATACACTGCCGCTGAGTGACTGAAAAGCTGCAAGGCGCATCATCACACATTTGTGGTTAATAGGTTTGTGATTGGTTGCCTACATTTTTTATCCTCATAACACCTGTAAAAAGTAGGACTTAGTTTGCATAGAGGAAGAAACCAAGTTTCTGAGAAGTTGCATGACTTTCTTGCCAGTCAGCCATTTAGCTCATCAGTGCTGCAGGCAGTGTAGTCTAGCTCCAAAGCCCTTCATCTGTCTCACTGTGGGAGATAGTAGGATGTTACGTGAGAGATTCACGTGTAGGCTGATGACACATCAGCATACAGGGCAGTTGAAACCACAGGAGTGGTTGACCTTGCCGGGGAGGCCATAAAGACTACACACTGGCAAAAGGTGAGGACATACTATGGTAGATTCTTGCAGATTTTTTGTCAGCATTGATATTTGTAATCTTAAATTTATTTCTGGATTTTGCTCTCATGACCTGTTTCTAGGTATTAGAAGTCGCTGCTGTTTCCTGACCTAGAGGTGTTGTGTCTGTCGTTACAGATTACCTAAAACCAGATCCATGGATGATCTGCTTTCTGCATGTGATACAAGCAGCCCCCTGACCCGCACATCCAGTGACCCTAACCTGAATAACCATTGTCAGGAGGGCCGAGCAGGCCTGGAGACCTGGCATGGCAGTCCTGAAGGAACAGAGACAACTTGTGTGGAGTCTGCAGCTGGAGGTCCTCGCCAGACTGGAGGAGATGTGGGCCTTCATCCCCCTCTGGCCAGCAGCCAGAAAGACTACTTGAACAGTAAACCCTTTAAGAGTCACAAAAGTTGTTCTCTAAACTATAGACTGCTTACTACCAACCTGCCCTGGGAAATGAAGAGCAACACCTCTGATCCTGAGACCAAGTCCCTGGAAAAGACAAAGGCACCTGCTAAGGACCTTCCTGCCATGGCTGGGGTGGGGAGGACTTTAGATAACCCTGGAGAGCCATCTGAACATTGCCCGAAGGCAGAAAGTGTCAGTGTACTCTCAAAGGTCATTTCTAGCAAGTGTGATGGAATTTGTGATTCTCCTAAGTCTTCACGGGACTCCCTCATAGGTGACCCCAAACAGATCTCACCAGATTCTGGGCCAAGCATGAACCCCAAATGTGATCCAGGCGCCCTTTGCAACCCATCAAGTGCTGCCTGCCAAACTCCTGTAGCCCTAAGCACTGATTCTGGGGCAAGTATCTCCCAACAGAAACAGCCTATCTCTGTGCCAGATCTGGTCCATACAGAGGAAGACACTGGCAAAAGAGGAAGTAATAGGAATGGACAGTTATTGGAAAATCCTCGCTTTGGGAAGATGCCATTTGAATTGGCCCGAAAGCCAATATCTCAGAGCCAGATCAGCGAGTTCTCTTTTCTGGGGTCAAACTGGGACAGTTTCCAAGGGATGGTGACTTCATTTCCAAGTGGAGAGTCCACCCCTCGGCGGCTGCTTTCCTATGGCTGTTGCAGCAAGAGGTCAAGCAGTAAGCAGCTGCGGGCAGTGGGGCCCTGCTTCGGTGGCCAGTGGGCCCAGAGAGAAGGTGTGAAGTCACCAGTGTGTTCTGGTCATTCCAATGGACACTGTACTGGCCCTGGAGGAAGACACAGCCGAATGTGGTGGTCTGGTCACCCAAAGCAAGGCCCCAACACAAAGCCTGTTCCACTGAGCTGCCCTTCTCCAGTGCCTCCCCTCTACTTGGATGATGACGGACTCCCATTTCCCACTGATGTAATCCAGCACAGGTTACGGCAAATCGAAGCAGGGTACAAGCAAGAGGTGGAACAGTTACGACGACAGGTGCGCGAGCTTCAGATGAGGCTAGATATCCGTCACTGCTGTGTCCCTCCAGCAGAGCCTCCTGTGGATTATGAGGATGATTTTGTAAGTATTCACCAGCTACCATTCCTTCCTTCACTGATTCTTTTATCCCATCTTCCATCCATTCAGCATTCATTAGGAACCTTCTGTGTGCCACTGAATTAGGTGGCTTTGGCTACAGCGTGAAAGACAAGTAAACCATTGGAATGGAGTTCTTAAGTGATGATTGAAAGAGGCATCACACATTTGAGGGCTGGTGTAGAGTGAAAGGTCAAGGAAGAGTTTTCTGAGGTGATGCTTGAGTTGAGAAAGTGAAAGGAAGCAGGAAGGTGATAGGTACTGTGATGTTGTGGCTTAAACAATTGTGTGGGATATGTGTGTGTGTGCATACACAGTTGTGCTGGGACTAGTAGTAGGGAGAGTTAGGTAGTGTGAGGAGAGGTGACATCAGAGAAGTTAATGGGGTTTGGAAGTGTCAGCTCAACGGCCCCTTTTGCTTGGGTTTTACACTTAAAGCAACAACATTTTATGCCAGTAACCAACATGATCAGATTTGTACATTTTTTAAAAAATTAATTTATAATGCAGTGACAGAGACATAGCAAGAGCAACCCTCCATTCTCTAGTTTTCTTACTAGATGGCCAAAAAGGCTGGGGCTAGGCTAGACTGAAGCCAAGACCTGGCAACTCTATTTGGATTTCTCACATGAGTGGCAGGAACTTAAATAGTTGAGCGGTTATTATCTGCTGCTTCCCAGGTAAGCAGGGAGCTGGATTTGAAGCAAAATCAGTACGCAAACCAGTGCTCTGCTATGGAATATGGGTGTCACAAGGAGTGCTCTTCGCCTCTCTGCCACAAATTGGCTCCAGATTTATATTTTAAGAAAACTGGATGAAGCAGTTGAGAACCAGATTGGGAGGCTGCTTTTGACATTTTTGGATAAACTAAATGAGAAGTGACAAGGGCCATCTAGACTTTGCTGTGTCTGGCAGCCTTGAGTTCTGGCACTGTAGTCCTGGGGCAGCTTCTCAGAGTCCTCTCTCCCCAGAGTGTCTAGCTGTTTATGTAGCAAGAATTCCAGGTAGCCTTCTGTTAAGATATTCTTGCTTGCACCTTCTCCACTTCCCTGCTGATGGATTGGAAAGGGCTAACAACTTCTTATTTTTGGGGTGATACACTGGCAAAGGACCAAATCATAAATATTTTAGGTTTCTGGGCTATACAGTATATGTCACTGCTATTCAGCGCTGCTGTTGTAGCACAAAAAGCAGCCATCAACAATGTATAGATGAAAACTTGAGCAAAACTTCGAGCAAAACTTGAATTACAGGAAGAGGTCATGGGCTGGATTTGACCTAGGGGTAATAGTTTGCCAGACTCTGATTTAGATTTGAACAAGAGAGAGACTTTCTACCCTGCGTTGTAACGTACTGATTAACAGTGTGGAGTTGAAGCCAGGTATTTGCTTTACAGTAGAGTTTTACCACTCACCAGCTCTTAACTTTTTCTGTGGCTTAATTTCTTCATTTGGAAAATGGGAAGAGTTAAATGCATTCATGCTTGTACTGCCCTTGGAACAGTGTAGGACACACAGGAGGCAGTGTCTTCAGCAGTGAAGTTCACAGCCACATCTTTGCTTTTTCTCCAGACATGTCTGAAGGAGTCAGACAGCAGCGATGCAGAAGATTTTGGTTCTGATCACAGTGAAGACTGCCTTTCTGAAGCAAGCTGGGAACCTGTTGATAAGAAAGAGACCGAGGTATGTCCAGGCCTATGTGTGATGGGGACTGAGGTGAGCTCCAGAGATGAAGTACAGGCTGTAGACTGAGCTGTCTCTCAGATAAGTGTCATTGTTATAGGCATGCAATGGCCAGTTTGCCAAAACAGTCTTGTCATTTCCCCTGAAGGTGTGTTACTAGTTGTGGTGTTGATTTTTCCCTTTGTTGACAAAGACCTGGCATTTTCCCTTATGCCTTCCACTAGGTGACTCGCTGGGTTCCGGACCATATGGCATCCCATTGCTATAACTGTGACTGTGAGTTCTGGTTGGCCAAACGAAGACACCATTGCAGGTGAGATATTTTGTATGGTTTAATATAAGTCATTGACCTAAATGAAGTGTGTTGATCTGAAAATAGAGACCTCTTCATATGAATTATTTTTGTTTGCTCCCAACTCTTCATTTATTTAGCGAAAGCTTTTAAGGTCCTCAGTTATTCTTAGATTAGCATTTCTAATGAACTCTCCCCTCTTTATGCTTTGGCAGAAATTGTGGGAATGTATTTTGTGGTGAATGTTGCCACCTGAAGCTGCCCATTCCTGATCAACAACTCTATGACCCAGTTCTCGTCTGTAACTCATGTCACGAGCACATTCAGGCATCTCGTGCCAGGGAACTCATGAGCCAACATCTGAAGAAACCCATTGCTACAGCTTCCAGTTGAATGCCAGAGAAGAAGACCTGTCCAATTTTAGCAGGTTTGAAGGGAGGATTGCCTCAGGCGTAGTTTGGAAGGGGTCCCCTGATGTGGCTCATGAAATCAGAGCTCAGAAATAGTGTCTTGAGCTATCTTCCTTGGTACCATGAGCTGGGGCAGAAGAATTCCAGTTTGACAGGAGGCCCTGTACTGCTGAGACCCTCACCTTGGGGTAATGGTCCTGACCCAGACCGGCAGTGTCTGGAAGCTTAACATTGAGTTGGGGACTTCAGCTTCTTTGTCCCAAGAGTCATAAGATGATGATTTCATAGATACTGCCTGGTGCAAAGTGCCCCAAACAGCAATAGAAAGGCATTTGTATAACCAAACTCCAAGTGATAAACAGACCCATTGCTCCTTTACCTTGAGAAAGGCAGATCCTAGTGTCCAAGACAGGAACTGCTATCCTCTGAGATGAACTCTGTCCCATCCCTCCGTGTCTGTGCATGAAGGCTCGGTCTTTAGAGGCGCCCCCTCTAGCTGCATTCGTACTGTCTTTCCATGGAGTTTGGTTTCAAGACTGGTTCAGCAAGTGAAGGATTTGATGTATTTTTCACTTGGTCCATCAGCTGGCATCCATGACTGTGGTGGAGGGGGACAGTGTTAGGGAGTGAGATTTAAGGAGAAAACTCCGCTGGTGTTCAGCCTCGGCAAAGGTCAATTACTGTGAGCTGTGAAGGCAGCCATCTCTGTTGCCCAGGCGCAGCTCTTGGGCTGTGCTCTGTGAAGAATGAGAAGGGAAAAACAAAAGTTATCCTTGTCTGAAATATTTACTGATTGTGCCCTCCCACCGCGCCTGACTTTTCCTGGTTGTCCTGGTGCTAACACAGGAACTACACCATGATCCTCTCCTGGCATGAAACTAAAAAACTAAGGTTTTTGTTGTTCCTGTCTCATGGCCCATTTCCCCCATGTTGTCTTTCCCTTGGCTGCTGCCGCCTCTGGGTCACACTGCTTCTTATCCTGAACACTTGACACCTTGAGGGTAGAATTTAGTGTTTGGTTTTTACCTCCTAGAATATGCTCTTTGGCATGTGAGGGTTTCAGTCCAAATGCTGCTATTTCTGTGCACTTAACAATGGAACCCAAATAGAAGAGAATGAAACCTCGATACCAAAATTGGAAGAGAAAATGTGTCCATTTGGACCAAACTTTTTTTTTTGTTTTGATACATATTATATATTTTTTCTTTTTCATCTTACTATATACCAGTGGCTCTTAACCAAAAGACACAGTGATATAGCCATGCACCGTGGTTGGGACAGATACAGTCTTCTTGGCCTCTAATGAAACCACTAGCACATCCTTTATACATTTTCCTTAATTAATTCGTGTATAAAAGATAAATTACATTTAAACTTAACCCTGTTTTGAAACTGGTAGTAAGCTTTCTCACCGCTATTTTCATGTTGCATTCTGGGAAAAAAATTTTTTTTAGTTCTAAAATAACTAGGATCTGCATTTAGAGCAAGAATCGTTACTTGTCCTGACCTTTTCCTCAGCCCTACAGAGAAGCATCTGTGCTGTTTTCATACTTGCCATGGATGTAACCTAAAAAGTTGTGGCGTATTTAGGTCAGCCTGGGAGAAATTTTTTTCCCCTTCATTTAAATGGAGTTGAATAATGGAGATTTTATGTCTGGGAAATTTCTTGAGATCATTGTAAAAGTAATCTATTCCTTGTCTCTGAAACAGAAAATTTTTTTCCAATCATTAAAATGTACTGCCAGTTGTGAATGGCTTTTTAATTGACTTGACTTTCATTGCACCTCACTCTGCCTGTTTTCAGGGGAGTAGGCTTGGTAACGAGTGGGGAAGCTGTATCTGTCTACTTTGGGTGGCTGTTTTGAGGGTCTGTTGCATCAGTGAATGAACTGCATGGCCTTGGAGCGAGACTCCGGGCTTTTGGCTCTGAGTCGTTCATCAAATACTCCTTTCAGAGCTATTGTGGGTGTAAGTGACTTGATGTGGCCAAAAATCCAAACTGTGCAGTTGCGTTGTGACAAACATGCAATGTGCTGTAAAAACTCAATACAGTTTAAATAAAATCTCTATATTAGTGCTGCTTTGTTGGGTCGTTTTACTCATTTTAATTTCCAAGAAAACTTGATCCTTACTGTTCCTGTGACCATGAGAAAACGCTAGTACATCAGGCCCTGTTATCCCTTTTTCCCAACTTTTTTTTCAGCATAGCGTCTGTTAGATTCTTTTTTTCCAAAGATTTACTTAGTTTTTATTGTAAAGTCAGATATACAGAGAAGAGGAGAGAGAGGAGCTGAGCCAATCTGAAGCCAGGAACTCAGAACCTCTTCTGGGTCTCCCATATGGGTGCAGGGTCCCAAGGCTTTGGGCTGTCTTCGATTGTTTTCCCAGGCCACAACCAAGAAGCTGGATGGGAAGCGGGGCTGTTGGGATTAGAACTGGTTCCCATGTGGGATTCTGCTGTGTCCGAAGTGAGGACTTCAGCCGCTAGACTACCATGCTGGGCCCCTGTTAGATTCTTATGTATTCATTGGATAGGGATTTATACCTATGGATTCTGTAGTGTTCTCCCCCTAGGCTAGGCCAGTTTGCTCTACGGGTTGGAGTAAGCCCACAGACCGCCCTGATTCCATTCTAACAGACACCTCAGTTTAAACAGTCCTCAAGAACAAAGGAGATATTGGGGGGAAAAAAAGTGGACATAAAGCCTCTGTCTAAAAGACCAATTTGTTGGGCCCGGCGCGGTGGCACAAGTGGTTAAAGGTCCTCGCCTTGCACGGCCGGGATTCCATATGGGCGCCGGTTCTAATCCTGGCAGCCCCGCTTCCCGAAGAGGCTCCTGGCTTTGGATCGGCATAGTATCGGCCCGTTGCGCTCACTTGGGGAGTGAATCATCGGACGGAAGATCTTCCTCTCTGTCTCTCCTCTCTGTACATCCGCCTTTCCAATAAAAAAATAATAAAAATAAATCTTTAAAAGACCAATTTGTTGACCCTGGTACACTGCAGTTCTACCACCACTGTTTAGTTGGGAAAGACAGGAGGGAACGCAATGCTGGTGAGGAAGACGGGGTTAAGGGCCCATGTTCGCCAGTGTCCCGACCAGCACACACTTTCTGCATTCCAAAGAGCCCCTGCTTCGTATTCCACGGTGGATAACCGGACTGCTTTCTTTGCATGGTTTAGAACTCGCTGGTGGCCAGCGCTGCCCGGCCATGGGGACCCCGAGCAGGAGGCAGGCAGGCGGGTGGCCTGGTCCCACGCGGTCGCCTGGGGGCGGGCAGGCTCGCGCCCCGCTGGCCTCGCGCTGCGGGAACTCGAGGCCCCATTGGCCGCCCTGGAAGGCGCGGTAGGGACTCGTGCGCCAACGGTCCCGGGTCGCGGCAACCGGGGGTCTGGCAGGAGGGGGCAGGGCGAAGCGAAGGCCGGGGGGGATCGAGAACGGGGTGGGAGAGCCAGGCTCGGCGGGGCGAGGCCCAGGCCCAGGCCCGGGCGGGGGCAATGGAGGAGGCGCTGCTCTCCACCCCCATCAACCCCAACAATTTCCCAGCCAAGCTGTGGCGGTTGGTGAACAGCCCCCGGTACCGCTCAATCCGCTGGGACGGCCGCGGCGAGGGGCTACTCATCGACCAGCCGCTCTTCGAGGCCGAGCTCCTCAGCCCTCCGGGGCCAGGGGCTGGGGCTGGGGCCGGGCCCGGGGCCGGCAGCAGTGCCGGGGCTCCCGGGGCCGAACCTGAGCTCTTCAAAACCACCAACTTTACCAGCTTCATCCGGCAGCTCAACCTCTACGGCTTCCGCAAGGTGGTGCTGGGTGGCCCAGGCACAGCGGGGCCCGGGCCGGGGCCGGGGCCGGGGGGCGGCGGGCCGGCTGGCGACGGGCCGCTCCACCATTTCCACAGTCCGCACTTCCGCCGCGACCAGCCGCAGCTGCTGGTGCACCTCAAGAGGCTCACCAGCGCCAACAAGGCCAAGCTGGCGGCCGGCCTGGAGGTGCCCTGCCGCCCACCCAACCGCTTCCAGAGGCTCCTTATCACCTCAGCCTCGGCCTCGGCCTCGGCCTCCACCTCCCCGCTGCAGCAGCAGGAGCCCGCTGGGCCCCGGCCCGAGCCTCACGGTGAGTCTGGGCCGCCCCAAGGTGGGGTGGGGGTGGGGGCACAAGGGCGCCCGGGAGCAACCGCCATGGCAGGGGGTTTTGCCGCACACGTCCTCGCCTCTCCCGAGGTGTTCGAAGGCACCAGGGAATCCTTTTCCACCTTGTGCCGCGAGAATTGGGGCATCCTTAGCTCCCACTTTGTCACCAGCGAGGGCCGCTAAGACCTCCCTCTTTAAGCATTTCTCCCCTACTCTAAGTCTGCTTTCTACCCATCCGGGACAGTGTGGAATGTATGTTGCCTGTGTTGGAGCCCTGAGTCTGAGAGAAGCCCACAAGGGTCTCCTTTGCTCCCTCGGGAAGTCACCGTACAGTGGGACGGGGCCGGAGGAACATAGGACATTACGCCGACTTTATTCCAGCCAGGACCCTCAAAGAGACCTGCCTCCCTCCAGCTGTTGCCACAGCTCAGCGGCCTGAGGAAGAAGTATGGCAGTGGTCAGTTTGAAGGTTCCAAGCGCAAAAATACGGGCTTATCACATCCACAACAAAGCAATTCCTTTGTTGCAACTGGTTGGAGCTTTACCTAAGGAGTTAGTGGCAGCTAAGACAAAAGTTTTCCTCACAACTGTCAGGTTTTAGTTTATCACACTGTGATAGTGTGAGTCATCTTGGGGACTTGAGTCGTTTTCCCTGTACCAGTGAAGTGAGGAGGTGATGTCCCCTTTCTCTGAAGGGTGACTGGTGGTCAGTCAAGGAAATGACCGGACATAATAAAGACAGTTCACTCTTCACCTTCAGTTAGGAGAGTAGCAGACTCATTTTCCAGCGTGTTAACTTGGGTTTAATATAAAGAAGTCTGGGTTGGTTTTGAATTAGGGAGAAAAATCTAAATATACTGGTAAAACAAGACCGTGTTCAACTTAACCTAGACCTGGGATTGGGAATGACACTGTCCTTTACTTATTTGGGGAACTTAGAAGATAAGGACTAGGCTGTGTGTCTGTGGCATTTGGAAGATAAGGAGTTAGTTTAGAGTTCTAGCAACAAGTTGGAAACATAGCAGTAATGTTCTAAAGGGATTCTAAAGGAATATTAACGTGCTTCCATGTAATGGTCATTGGTTCTGGTGGGAAATTGTATGGGGAAATGCAGTGGAGGCAGTTTGATGGGAGATATTTGGCAGAATCTGACACCCCCCGTTTTTTTTCAGATTTGCATATATTCAACGCATATATATATGGAGAAAAGATGGGGAAATGTTTTTTGAGAGAAAAAAATCAGTCACAGACAGGTTGAGACAGAGATCTTCTCTCTGCTGATTCTATCCTCAGATGGCTGGAATAGTCCAGGCAGGGCCAGGAGGGAGCCAAGAGCTTCCTCCAGGTCTCCCACATGTGTAGCAGAGTTTCAGACACTTGTGCTATCTTCCATTGCTTTTCCCAGGCCCTTGATAGGAGCTGGATCAGAAGTGGAGCAGCTAGAATACAAGCCAGGGCCTGTATAGGAGGCCAGCATCTCGGGCAGCAGTTTTACTGGCTATGCCACAGTGCCGGCCCACAGAATAACCACTGAAAACAAAGAAACTTGCCTACATGCACACACAAACCAATTCTTGCTCACTTTTTTCTCTTCACTGATTTGTTTATTTTTATTGGAAAGGCGGATATACAGAGCTGAGCCGATTCAAAGCCAGGAGCCTCTTTCGGGTCTCCCACATGGGTGCAGGGTCCCAAGACTTTGAGCATCCTTAACTGCTTTCCTAGGCCACAAGCAGGGAGCTAGATGGGGAGTAGAGTAGCCAGGGTTAGAACCGGCATCCATATGAGATCCCAGCGCATGTGAGGTGAGGACTTTAGCCACTAGGCTAACTGTGCCAGGCTCTAATTTTTGTATTTTTCTTAAAAGATTTTTTTTCCTATTATTTGAAAGACAAGGCTTCTGAGAGAAGGAGAGGAAGAGAGATACAAATCTTCCATTTGCTGGTTCACTCTCCAAATGGCTGTTAGAGTTGGGCTGATCTGAACTAGAAGCTAAGAGTTTCTTTCCAGTTTCCGATGTGAGTGCAAGAACCCAAGAGTCTGCTGCTTTCCAAGGCCACAAACAGCGAGCTGCCTCAACATCAAGCAGCCAGGATTTAAACCGGCACCTGTGTGGATCCTGGCACCTCAGGGAGAGGCTTAGCCTACTAGACCATGGCACTCACACTCCTCCCTGCTTCTCCCCCACCAATCTCCACCCTTCACTTGTCTTAAACTCAGTTGCATTCTTTCTTTTTTTATGATTATTTTTATTGGGAAGTTAGATATACAGAGAGAAGGAGAGACAGAGAGGAAGATCTTCCATTTGCTGTTTCACTTTAAGTGGTTGCATCAGCTGGAGCTGAGCTGATCTGAAGTCAGAACCTGGAGCTTCTTCTCGTTCTCCTATGTAGGTGCAGGGTCCCAAGGCTTTGGGCAGTCCTCGACTGCTTTCCCAGGTCACAAGCAGGGAGCTGGATGGGAAATGGGGCTGCCAGGATTAGAACCGGCATCCATATGAGATCCCGATGTATGTGAGGTGAGAACTTTAATCACTAGGCTACCACACCAGGCCCTCAACCCAGTTGTATTCTCAGGATAGGGCTATTTAGGTGCTGTCTAGAATCTGAATTCACTTACGGTTAAGTTGGTCAGAATTTTAAGCAATGTTGATAAAAGTATCAATTTATGCCTTTTTGGTATAGATATATTCTCCTGTTATTCCATGTGTTTGTGTATGCAGAGGTGTATCAGGTGTGGCTTGATTGTATCACAGTTGTGTGGTTCAGTAGGTAATTATGTTACTGGTTCAAGTGGAATGTGTTCTTTTGTCACTTCAAGAATATTGGCAGAAGAGGGGCCAGATAAGTTTGTCCTTGGGGCTTGGATTGATGGACCTCAGGGCAGTGTGGCGACAGCTGGGGGCATCTAAGTCAGATCGAACTCAATGCTTGGGGCCATAGCCCCAGC